TTGATAAACATTTTGTGCAATCTAAAAAGAAAAGAGAAACTTTTAAAAAGCAATACACAAGATTAATTTAGCTATGAAACTTATCTGAATCTATTGATGTAAATCGACCATTTATTGAATAAATAACGCATGAAATTGTCTAAAGAAAAAAAAAGAAACATAATGTTTAAAAAAATAGATGAACTTGCATTAAAAATAATCTTAAAGTAAGAATAATTGAATGAAGAACAGTTGTAAAAGCTAAAATCAAATCAATAAAAATAATTTCAAGTCACACGAGATTGAGTCAGAAAAGAAAACATACCTATACAAGTTCGAAAAGAATAAAATTCGATCATATACAAACACGTGTGTTGAAACTGAAATAAGATAATAAACAGGTAGTCTAAAATCAAATTAAATAAGTATAAATAACGAGTAAATAAATTAGGAAATAACTTACTGAAGATAAACATATAAACATAAATAAAATGCTTCATTTCATCGAAACAAATTCAATGATAATATTGGGAAACATGATCTGAAAATAGAACGAGCAGAGAAAAGTTTTCGAAAGCAAAACAAGAATAATTTAATAATGAAACTTATCTGAAATCATTCATTTCACTTGACAATTGATAGAAAAACCTAACTTGAAATCATCTAGAAATAAAACAAACAATAATTCGAAGCCACATGTGATAAAACAAAAGAAAAAAACCTACCTGAAATAATTTATCTATGGAAAGAAGAATGAATAGGAAACACTTGCGTTGAAACCAAACACAGAATAATAGAAGAATAGTCTAAACCAAAATAAACTAAAATAAAATAAAACGTAGATTGATTAAGAAACAACTTACCAAATTGAATAGTTGATTTAACTGGAAAGAACTCAATGAGATGATCGATAGAGATGATTTGAAATCTAGAAAAAAAAGAGACAATTTTTTTAAAGCAAAATACAAGATAAATTTATTTAAGAAACTTATCTGAATCCATTGATTTAAAACAACACTTGATTGAATCAAAAGAACTTGAAATCATCCAAACAAACAAAAAAAACAATAGATAGATAATGTTGAAACAACTAGATAAACTTACATAAACAAATCATCTTCAGTTAACAATGTTTAATTGAATAATAATTCGAGAAATTGAGCCATGAACATATCTGATAAAGTTGAACTAAAATAAAAATACTAATAATTTGAAGTTACATGTAATGAAAAATAAATAAAGCATAAAATAAAATCAATCTACCTGAAATAATTATCTAGAAATAGAAGAATGCATAGGAAATACATGTGTTGAAACCGGAATACGGTTGTAAAAGAAAATTCTAAAATAAAACAAAATCAGTTTAAACAAGATTCAGATTGATCACGAAATAACTTACGGAAAATAATTGAAAAATAGATAAATAAATAGCATGTTCCATTTCGTTAGAAGAAACTCGATGATAATCTTCATTAACATTGTTTAAAATCTAGAAAAAAATGAAACAATTTTTAAAAGCAATACACAAGATTAATTTAATTGTGAAACTTATCTGAGTCTATTGATTTGAAACGACATTTGATTGATTAAATAAAACTTGAAACCATCTAAAGAAAAAGAAAGAAAAATGTAATTTACACAAATAGATTATCTTGCATTAAAAAATTATCTTACAATAAGAATAATTAAATGGAGAACAGTTGGAAAATTGAGCAATAAATAATAATGGAAAAGCTAAAAATCAAATAAATAAAAAGAATATGAAGTCATATGAGATTGAATCAGAAAAGAAAACATACCTTTATAAGCTCAACAAAAATAAACAGCGACCATAAATAAATACGTGAGTTGAAATTGAAGTAGAAGAATAGACGGGAAATCTAAAATCAAATTAAATAAGTATAAATAACGAGTAAATAAATTAGGAAATAACTTACTGAAGATAAACATATAAACATAAATAAAATGCTTCATTTCATCGAAACAAATTCAATGATAATATTGGAAAAACATGATCTAAAAATAGAACGAGCAGAGAAAAGTTTTCGAAAGCATAACAAGAATAATTTAATAATGAAACTTATCTGAAATCATTCATTTAACTTGACAATGTTTGAAGTAAACAGAATTCGAAATCATCTAAAAGAAAAATAGAAATAATTTGAAGCCAAATATCTATGAATAAAAGAATATATACGATACACGTGTGTTGAAATTGAAATAGGATAGCGAAAAAGAATATTCTAAGATTAAATTCAATAATTTTAAATAAAGTTTAGATCAATCACAAAAAATAACTTACCAAACATGGTCATAAATAAACAAAAAGAATGTTCCATTTAGTTGAAAGAAATTCAATGATAATATACATAAAAAAAATCTGAAAATTAAAATAAAAATAAAACTTTTAAAAGCAAAATACAAGAATAATTTAATTTAGAAACTTATCTGATATCATTGATTCGAATCAGGACTAGGTTGAGAATAGAGAATTTGTAATGAGCTAAAAAGAAAACACACCGGAAAAAATTGATCCTAAATAAGAATAAGAATGATTTCAAGTCATATGAGATTTAACGAAAAGAATAAACATACCTATATAAGTTATACCAGAAGAAATAAATAATCAAATATACACACGTGCATTCGATCAGAATTAAAATACCTAAAAATATCATTATAAAAAAATTGAAATGAATAAAACAATCATTGAGAAATAAAGAATAAAATGAAAAACATGTACCTGAAATAATCATTCGTGGATAGCAGACTGAATAGAAAACACGCGTGTTGAAACGAAAAATAGAATAATGAAAGAATATTCTAAAAGAAAATTAAATAAATAAAAATAAGACGTAGATTGGTCAAGAAGTAACTTACCAGAGATAGACAGAGATAAACGAATAGAATATTTCATTTAATTCGGAGAAATTGGATTATAATATTGATAAAGATGATCTGAAACCTAGGAAAAAAAAGAGACAATTTTTAAAAGCAAATACGAGATTAATTTAATTGTGAAACTTATCTGAGATGCTTGATTTAAAACGGTCATTGATTGAATAAATAAAATTGGAGAGGATCTAAAGAAGAAAAAAAGAAAGATAATATTTAAATAAATAGATTAACTTACGCAAAGAAATTATATTAAAATAAGAATAATTAAATGAAGAACAGTTGGACAATTGAGCAATAAACAATGTTGGAAAAGCTAAAATCAAATAAATAAAAAGAATCTGAAGTTATATGAGATTGAATTAGAAAAGAAAGCATACCTATACAAGTTCGGTAAGAATGAAAATCGATCATCTATAAACACGTGCGTTGAAATTAAGCTAGGAAAATAAACGGATATTCTAAAATCATATCAAGAAATAAGTTACCAAAGTTAACCATATAAAAATAAAGAAAATGTTTCATTTAATCGAAAGGAATTGAACGATGATGTCGAAAAACATGATCGAAAAATAGAAAGAAACGAGAAAAGTTTTTAAAAGCAAAACACTAGAATAATTTATAAAAGAAACTTATCTGAACGCATTGATATAAATCGACAATTGATTGATTAAATAAAACTTGAAATCATCTAAAAGAAAAAGAAACAGAAAATAATTAAGCATCTAGATTGACTCACAGAAGTTGATCATCTTCATTGAAGGATGGATATATCTGAAAAAGTTGATCCTAAATAAAAAAAATAATACAAATTTGAAGTCATACAATAGTAAACGAAAGAAAAAAAGATACCTAGATAAGTTGGATAAGAAAAGAATCGATCGTTCATAAACACGTGCATTTAATTAGAATAGGCATGCTTGAACAGATTATCTAAAATAAAAAACAAAGAATGATTGAAACACATATGAAATCAACGTACCTATAACAATTCTTTATGAATGAAGAATAACTAGATCGAAAAACACGTGCGATGAAACCAACATAGCATAGTAAACGGATATTCTAAAATTAAATTAAATAAGTTCAAATACAGTTTAGATTAATCACAAAATAACTTACCAAAGATAATTATATCTAGATAAATAGCTTGTTTCATTTCATCGCAAGAAATTCAATGCTAAAATCCAATGAGAGAAAAAAACAAAGAATTAAAAAATTTAGTATCGCTGTACATTCAACGGGCCCCAGGATGCAGCGAAAACTTTTTCAGTTGTTCATGGATCCGACGAATCGTTGAAGCAAGGAGTCACAAATATGCATACGAAGATAGTAGACCGAAAAAATCAATGATTTCTAAGTGTCCGGAGTGTAGGCGAGGAGTTTTTTTAATGAGAATGACGAGATTTTGCTTGAATTTCGAGAAAAGCAAAAAATCATCGGAATACGTTCAAATTCACAATCCTAAGGTAATCGACATCAACTAAGATGAATATGAGGTTGCCAGAATTTTGCCAGTCTTGGTTAGAGAGAAAAAGAGAGAGAATTAAAAAATTCACTTTCGCGGTACATTCAACGAGCACCAGGATGCAGCAAGAACTTTGTCAATTATCCATCGATCTGATGAAAAGTTGAAGCAGGAAGTCACAAAGGTACGTCCAATGAGAGGAGACGCAAAAAATTAAGGATTTCTAACAGTCCCGAGACTATCAAGGCGTTTTTCAATGATTTTAGTAAAGAGAATATTCTTGGTAATGTATTGTATTTTACTTTATGTTAATGATTAATGTCAATATTTTTCTTGTACCATTTGTTTTTACTTAAGAGCTATTTATAAACTGACAATTAGCATATCTTTGTTTATTATATAATATACAGGGTGTTCCAAAAGTCCCCGAGAAAAGTTTTCGTAAATATCTCCTATACAACTCAAGCGATTTAATCTTTTTTTGAATAAAATTATAGTGTATTCTTTTAAGTTTTATTTCATATAGTTTGGCTTAAAACAAATGTTCAAATTGAATACCATCAACTGAAATACATAAATTCATTTTTTTCGAAATATTTGAAAAACCATTATACAAAATTTCTTTTGAAATTGATTTTATTTCGGTTTCGATTCTTCTTTATAATTCAGCTATATCTTTGATAGGAGTGTTGTAGATATTGTTCTTTATATGCCCCAACAGAAAAAAGTCAAGTGGTGTTAAATCAGGTGACCGTAGAGCCCATCGAATTGAACCACCTCTGACAATCCACCTTCCAGGAAAATGATCATCCAAATAACGTCGTGCATCAATAGAGAAATGAGGAGAAGCTCCATCCTGTTGAAATATAGCTGAACGAAGCTTGTGTAATTTTCTAATCTCTGGAATAAAAAACGTTTCTAGGATTAATAAATAATTTGCCCCATTAACAGTATCATCTTCAAAGAAATATAGCCTAACAATTTATTTTTTGACATAGCACACCAAACATTGAGTTTAGGTGAGTTCATAACGGTTTCGATGGTAACATGTGGACTAGTTTCAAACCAATATCTGATGTTGGGTTTGCTATCTAGTCCACCCACATAAAATGTTGCTTCATCCGAAAAGAATAAATTTTCCTGCATATGACTATCTTCTAACATCGGTATTAAGGTTTTACACATTTCAACCCTATCTTGTAGATCTTCTTCATAAAGTTGTTGTACAAACTGCGCCTTATAAGGCTTTAATGCTAGATATTCAGTCATGATTCGATGTGTTGTTGTTGGTGTAATAGAACAGTCTGTTGCAACAAATAGAACACTGGATTGTGGTTTATCTTTCAGAGCATCCCTAACTTTGTCGATGGTTTCTTCTGAAATGCTTGAAGGTCGTCAGACCGTTCTTGATCTTCCACTGTACCGGTTTCACAAAACCGTTCAAATGTATCTTTAATACATGTTAAGCCTGGTGTATTTATTCCAAACTCGGCCCTTAATTTTCGTTGAACAACTGCAGCCGAGTCAGATTTGGCCATTAATAAAACTATTTTTATTCTAATATTTTTAGGCACAGACATTTATCTGAAAGTATATAGAACAAAACTAGAAAGAGTATACTATAATATTATAAAAGAAAAATATAAATCTTTTGAGTCGTATAGAAGATATTTACGAAAACGTTTCTCGGGGACTTTTGGAACACCCTGTAGAAGTCTTTATTGTGATTAATTCAAAGATGAAGGACACGCACATGAGGAAAACTCTTGTTGATATATAGTTATATTCAAAGGATGTAAGATAAAAATATGAGCAGTTGTCTCATTAATATTGTTTGAAAAATTTGAAATATTTTTTTTTCTTTTTCATAAACGAAACAAATATTTACAATGGCTCAGACTAGTATTCTTCTTACTATATAATATAAAGTAAGGTATTAGAAGTGTTTAAGTAGTCATGTTAATGATATTGATGTTCGAAGAATAACACGATAATTATCTATGAATTATTATATTCTATGTTAAACATAATTTTAGTAGAGGAGAAGGAATTTATTTGAATAAAAATTACTAAGTTATCTAAATATGTTAAAGCTCTAAAGTAATAAGAATTCGAAGGAGAGTTAGAAAGAGCATTTGGTTGTTCTACGAAGTGATTTTTGTTTGAAAAATAGATATGAATAATTTATAAATGGTATAAATTATTATGCATTAGGGATAAAGATTTTATGTGATCAAAACTTTTACAATTTTGTAGAGTAGTATCCTTTAATAAGATGCAATATGAATGGATGCTTACATAGACATTAAAATATGTGTATATATTATATAAAAGGTATCTATGATAAAAATTGAATTTTTTTTGGATACTACTGATCGCGCTAATATTTTAAAATTATCAATCAACTGTTGTTATATTCGGTCAAGTCTTTTTATTAAATTAATTACCTTATGCCTTTGTATAAAACATGCAATTAGTGTGCTAAAACGGTTGATTGTTTTACATATAAATTTGAAGAGTTATTTTGTGATTCAAAATGTAAATATTATCACTATCTTGATTTGTGTATTCTGAATATCATTAAAATAACGAATTCTAATAGACTGGAAATGAAAATGGGTGAAGAATGAAATAAGTTATTTGATTTCGTTTTTAACAATAAATTATGTTTATATGTTTATCGACGTGATGAGATCGGTATGGAAATTGCGTGGCTATATGAAACGCATTGCACATATAAAACAAATAAGTTAAATTCTATTAAAAGTTTAGCCACAGTTGAACATCTATCAAATCTTCATTATTTTTTACATAGTTTAACAAAATGATTGGTAATTGTAATGCCAATCATATAATAATAAACGTAAAATATATTAACAAACTAAAATACAAATAAAATAGAATAAAGTAGTATAGTGTATAGTGTACATACTGTAATGTTTATTCAAACATGTTTTATTAATTATAAATAAATATATATATATATATATATACAATTACAGGAAACATGACGTATTCTAATGAATATGTTATATAATATCAACATAATTACAATAAGTTTGATGCGTTAGAAGTACTTTAATTTTATCAAAACAATATTTATACTAGACTAGAGCTTAAATATTATTTAAATTGATACAGTGATTACAATAATAAAATTGTCCTTTTAAGAAAATGAAGTGTTTCACATACTTAGAAAGTGTGGTCATTTTAAAAAAAGGCATTATTACGATAAAATTGTCATTCCAATTGTTTCATAACAATATGCCATTAAAAAATTTGTTACAAAACGTCGGGCAATTGTATGCAATATAATTATACAATGTGACTGTTATGATGAACCTCACACAAATTATAATAATAGAAATACGGAAATATAAAACTTAATTTTTCTTAGTATTTTTTAGTTTTTTTTTTTTAAGAGTTGTTTTGATTTATATTGAGTTATATAAGTGATTTTCGTGTCTCTAAGCATATAGGATAAAAACTTCGATGTATTTAATACAAAAAATAATGGTTTTAAGTTGGTAATTATACAGTTTATCATTAATATTGAATATATTTTAACAGAAATTCAATAATTCATGCTATAAAAATTAAATTTCATAAAGCTTTTGAAAAAGCTTTATTTAATATGAATATAGATACTGAAATGTGTAATATTATACAGCACTACTTGATAAATCTTTGTATAAAACTATACCAAAACAGAATTAATGATATACAAACAAATAAAATATAGCTTCTTAAATGCCTAAAATGAAGGGAATTAATATTTAAACGCTTGATCAATACAATTTGAATGATAAAAATGACATAAGGAATATAAATATTCAACAGTAATAAGCAATAAACATCTTCTAACAATTTTTCTTTATGTGGCTAACAATATATTAATAGATTAATTATCATTATTGAGGAATATTGTATATAATTGTTTGGTTAAAAACATAAATTGATTTCGTCCTTCTTTTAAATGAAAAGTGATTTATTGTTTGTTACTAGAAAAATAAATTTACAAATTGCTTGATAATTTAGTTAAATTAATGAAAGGCGATCGTTGAGAGAAAATTTTTATACTTTGATGTGCAATACGTCTCCTTTTTATATTGTATAATAAACCAAATATCCTACAGTTATGTTACTAATGCGTCAATGACAAAAATTGTAAAGCAATTAGACCAGAACGATGCAAAAAAGCTAACATTTCAGGAGTTTCCATAATCAAGATACCAAAGATAAAGAAATAAAACCGAAATTCGAAGCCTTCAAAAAGAAAAAAAATAATGATAACTCAAAACCATATTTTATATCATGATGTACTTAAAGGCCAATTGTTATATAGGAAATGCATTCACTTTATATCTTCAGATAATTATCCACATTGTCCTTACGCACGTTATAAAAAAAAATTTGAAATATCACTAATACCAGAAGATCTTATATTAGATTTCATAGAACAACAAGCGATTACATTAACTTACATCTACATGAGTAGTATAATTCGTTTACAATTGCTACTTGCTCTCGATTACGCCATTACTATTCATAGAACTCAATGTATGACATACATAACAATGTAAGTATCTACTAGTATTAATGTTTAAAAATATTTTTTGTTAGATAAAATTTGAATTATTTTGTTGATTAAAAGATTGAACATTCATATAGTAATATTCATATAGAAGAAGCAAATGAAGAATTAGAATATTCTAATAAATGATTTAAAACTATAAACGATATAAATGTTGATAATGAATACAACAATTTTGATGATAGTATTAATCCTAAAGATGTTACTATTTGTGAAACATAAAAAGGACTTTTTTTTGTGGCCGCGATGCTCTTAGAGCTCTTGTACAAAATACAGAAAAATTTGATGGCACGTATCTAAGTAGTATAGCAGAAGAGTTACCAACACAAGAACTGTTAATCAATAATGCTATATCAACAAATGAATCATCATATTCGATTAACAATAATGGTTACTATCATTTTTAAGTCATTCAAAAAGCACTTGAACTTGCGCAAATCAATACTATAGATGAAAAGTCATATTAATATGTACAAGCATTGTTCATTCATCAGTTATTTTTATTATTGATTCTCTGAAAACCGACATAACATAAAACTATCCATCGAAATTGTGTGGATGATTATATAAAATTTTTAGACGATGAAGGTAGCTCAATATATGCATCTGTGTGTTGCAAAATTTTTAAAATGGAAAATATTCCAACCGATTTAATGTTTTTATTAATCCATCCATTACCATCATGTTTAGCAGACGAAATTACTTAAAAACTGAATTAGATAGAAATAGAAATTTTAACTAATATCGTATCCGTAATCAAACAAATTGATCATACAAAATATTTTATATTGTTATCATTGTCACCTATCAAATCGACAATTAGCTAACATAAATGTTCAATTTTATAAAAACTAAGTTGTTGATTTTATCATCAAACAATAATATATTATTTTTTTTTCCAAAAGTATTTTATATTTAAGTATATTAAGTATAAAAGTATATCAGTGAATTTTATATTAAATCGCTTAAAGTAGAATATTTCTTATTTTAATTTTTTAATATAGTAGATGTTTACTAACATTACTAAAAAAAAAATATATATATACTTTGACTAATGAAATAATGACTACGCTAAAATGATTGAATGTTACGATTATTCACAACATGCGAAATTGGTCGTCTTTTATAGAAAAGATCTAATAATAATTTTTATAGTTTGCTACTCTAATCAAATTTTAACTGTTTAACGAATATGATGCGATATATTGAAAGAACACTTTTGAATTAAACTATTGATTTATTACAAATAATAGATTTAAAAATAGAAATTAATAGTAATGTATTGATCACATGAATGAATTTAACAAAATTCATACGCCATATATGATTAAAAATATAAGGCGTCCTATCAATATATATATACTTCCAACAACATTGGAGTTGTGAATATTAATTCAGAAAAATTTCAGCGCCACAAATATTTCTTTTAAATGGTTTATTATAATAATTAACCATGTTATTAACCAGTAGCTTATTTGATGATTATAAATAGTATGATAATTATATGGAATTGAAAAGAAAATTAGATAATGAATTCGAATAACTATCAAATATTTTAAGAACAATACAGTTCAATTTCTTTAGTAAGATTTTATCTGCCATTAAAATTAAGCAACAGTTATTCTGAAAATTGTGTGAATAGATGAAATCATAGATAAGTTCGAGTTCGAGTTTTTTTTATCGATATGAAATATTATTTAAAACAAATGTTTATATATATTTTTTTTTGATCTTCAAAATAAAATAAATATGAATTTCGGTATTTAAACTTTTTATCTATTTAAAAAGAAATATACAAGTCTATTAAATTTTTTTGATGAATTATGTTTTTGTATCGGTGTTTAATTACAATTAGTATATATCGTAAATTATTTATTTCTATCTTTATTCGTAAATAATAAAGTGATAAATCATCTTTAAATATTTAATCTGCAGTACATAATCAATAATATATGTAATCATGATAAAACAGTGGTTGCTAATGAGTGTAATAGTAGAATATATTCGTTGCTGATGTCTGTAATAATAAAAATATATAATACTGTCGTAACTATGGGCTATTAAAAGAAAAACGACATATTTCAGGATTAATTAGAGATTAAATCCTAATTATAATGATTTCTTATTAGTCAAACTAGATTTTCATTACCGATGTGAGTAGTGGTGAACATAGGCAATCGATCTGTACTAAAAAAGTTTCTATTTGGTACATCTAAGTGTTAGTTGTTTTATGTTTTTAACGGGGAGGGGATGGGGTACAGGGGAGACGCAAAAACCTAGCAAATCAACCTACACTCACTATTTTCTTCGAAAATATATGTGAGTTCCACAAAAAATATATATCGAGCTGCTAATCACCTCGAACAGCTTTCTCTATACATTCATTGTCAAAACGTAAATAAGTGTGTCAAAGCTTCATCAATCACTATTGCAATTCTAAATGAAATTTCTTTCCCGTGACAATGTTTAAATAACTGTTGGTATGATACACGTAAACGATAATAACTAATCTCGAATATCGGTGATCGACTGAAAAATTCTGATCAGAGAATAACTTTAAGAAATGTTACTTGTAATCAATTCTCAATAAAAATGACAAACAACAATCAAAATCTATGAAATCAATAAGAAATGAAACATATACTGCTAATGCTATGCTATTGGAAGAGTTATAAAATTGGCACGTCCTTTCGTTTTTTTAATACAAAATTGAGATAGCTAACATGTTACGAAGATCAGTATGTACTCTGATTTCCAATTGCTTGTTGCATAAAATATATATGAACAAATACTGAATTAATTTTAGAATGAAATAACGAAATTAAGAGCTTTTCTCAACAAAACAGTTCATAAGTTTTTTCGATAAAATCATGCGTAACAAATAAGGTCAATCTCAATCGTTTCTTGTACTGAAACAATTTACATTCATACTCATTGAAATTAAAAAACGCATCCCTCGATCTATTGTTGGTAGAAAGAAATAAAGGTATAATTTGATTTATTTTTGAAATAAAATAGGTGGCGTTCATTATATCCATTAAAAAGACTTTACGAGAAAAAACTACATCAAATTTTAATATGTTAAAAAAAAAGAAGAAATAATCCTATCAGTTGTATTTTTTAATGAAACATGAGAACAACTTCAAAATAAGTCATCAAAATAAAAATGAGCGAATTCCAGAGCAGTTACGAGGAATTATCTGTCCAAAATGTATTATCATTTAGAGTTTCGTATGTAGAAGTTCTTTCGAGTGCGAATAAAATTTCAGTTTGGTGTTCGATGACTCTTCGAAATAACCGGTACTCTATACGATTAGAGGAGACAAAACATTTGACTCTCTCATTACTATCATAAACCAACGATAGATTATTGAGATACAACCAAAAGCATCGAAAAAAAATTACATATTACTTATTTATTAGACACAATAACCGAGTGAAAAAAAGTATTCCTTACATTTTAATTTTAAAAAAACCAAGAAGCATTATATCCGACTTTTATTATAAAAAACAAACGAAAAATGATTCCATGTTTATGCCAATAAATACAATACTTTCCGCTTCGAATAGCTTTCCTTTACAACAAACTAAGATTTCCATAAGGAAATTTCGATAAACATTATTACTAATCTATTTTGTTGATTCAACACATGAAGTTTTAATTATTGTGAGGGAAGAAATAAGAAGATATTACTTGTGGTTTTTATTTTAATGAATAAAAATGTCAAAATAGAAGCCTTCGAATTCCGTAGGAAATTTACACGAAAAAATGTTTGTCACTGAGCGAAATAATTAAATACTACTGTCTTCTATCGTAATCTTTTTTGAGTCTGAGATAAATTTTGTGGTAAATTGCTAATTCCATTAGATGTCAGAAAAAATAAAAAGGCTGCAAAAGTGAAAGGAAATGATCGTTTAATGAATATTTTAATAAACTAGAAGTATTGTTAATTTTTATGAAGAATTTCGTAATTTATATATTAAAAATAAACTGAGAAAAATATAGAATTTTTGACAAAAATTTTAGTCAGTTAAATTATTTTGATCAAAATCCCTATCAAGATAATTAAAACAATTTACAAGTTATCTTTTGAATGGAAAGTTTTAAAGAATTCATCGAGTTGCAGCAAGTAGATTCTAATAAACGAGTTGCGTATATTTTTTGCTTATAAGAAGAATGTTAACAAATAGATCTATTAATTATTATATCACGCTTTAGAAAAAAATGCAATACTATTGATTTGATATGGTTGAATTTTTTTATATAATCAAATTTGCAATTCTAATGTCTCATTATCTTTGGTGAGATATCGGGTTGAATAATATAAAAACTTATTTGAAAAACAGCTCGAAATAGAGATTAGATCGTTCTATTTGGAACTTTTAGGAATATCACTAATCTATTGTTGAACTTGACATAAGCAGAACCAACAGGAATTATTTAATTTCTAGTAAGCTAAAATTCGAAAAATTGCACGACCATCGAAATCAATATAATTTCCTATATACGATGTTAAAATATTATGAAACTAGTAGGTCAACATTCTGAAAAGCAAATAAGAGAATCAAATAAATCAGTGGTGTTCGTGCAACAAAAATTGAATATCGTTGTAGTTGCAAAGCGAAATTATTTCAAATGAAAACTAAATTTTTATCCCTTAATGTTTTATATAGAATAGTTACGATTTTTATATTCTCATAATTTCATCTATTTTGATCGTGATTAAAACGCAGAAGCTTGAAACAATATTTCCAAATATAGAATTCTAATGTTTTCTTACCCTTATTTGATTATAAAAAATAAGAGTTTTGAATAATGTAGTCTTGAGCAGAAAAAAGAATTACATATTTAGTCATGAATCTAATAGCTTCTATTACTTCAATATTGTATACAATATTATATATCAGTATTTGAAGTTGCATTCTAGAATTAGAAATGTATCTTGAAATTTTTTTACAAAGGATAAATAGTAACAATTCATGTAACTCTAAAGTGAGGTCAGAATTTTCAATTGTGCGCACAGTATGTATGCGTGTGATGCTCACCATACAAAGTACAAAATATGATACTGAACTATTAGAAAAAATCTTCATTTTGTATTCAAACAAAAGATAAATCAAGTGTAAACGAATTAGAAATACAGTTTAGTACTAGATAAAACAATTTAGATCTTTATTTCAAATTGAAAATAGCCTCTATTCTTTCATGTAGTGTTTACAATAAAATCAAATGACTCATTTGATTCCTTCAACAAAACCTACTATCTAAATATGAGAAATACTTTTATTTTTCTTGTTGCTATTATATATCAGATCAAGATTAATACAATGGCTTGTAAACTAGAAATATAGTACTTTAACGTGGCAGTGTTAAAGAATATTAACTGGATATGTAAATTTTAGATTT